CCCCACCCCACCCCACCCCCACCCAGCACCCCACCCAGCAACCCACCCAGTAACCCACCCCACCCCACCCCCACCCCCACCCTACTCCACTCACTCCACTCCACCCCCACCCCCACCACTCCACCACTCCACTCACCCCACCCCACTCCACCCTACTCCACCTCACTCCACTCCACTCACCCCACCCCACCCCCACCCCACCCCACCCCCACCCCACCCCACCCCACCCCACACCCAGCACCCCACCCAGCAACCCACCCCACCCCACCCAGTACCCCACCCAGCAACCCACCCCACCCCACCCCACCCCACCCAGTAACCCACCCAGTAACCCACGCCACCCCACCCCACCCCACCCCACTCCACTCACCCACTCCACCCCACCCCACTCCACCCTACTCCACTCACTCCACTCACTCCACCCCCACCCCACCCCACCCCACCCCACTCACTCCACCCCACCCCACCCCACTCACTCCACCTCACTCCCACCCCACCCCACCCCCACCCCACCCCACTCCACCACTCCACCCCACCCCGCCCAGTAACCCACCCCACCCCACCCCACTCTCACTCCACCCCACCCTACTCCACCCTACTCCACTCACTCCACCCCACCCTGCCCAGTAACTCCACCCCACCCCACCTGCCTCTACCCACCTTACCCACTCACTCCACTCCACTCACTCCATTCCACCCCACCCCACCCCACTCCACCCCACTCTAGGGTGATAAATCTTTAGATAAAATAAACTAGGGTGGCTAATCTTCAGGTGAACCTTTTTAAACTAAGAATCTGAATTATTACAAAACACAAATAAAAGTTGTTGTTGTTAACAGTAAAAATATAATAGAAAATATTAGATTCTCTTTATGACTTCCCACTTGACCCGTGTTGTGAGTTGTTGTTGTTGTTAAGAATGTATTTGTTGTCATTGTTGTTGTTGTTTTAGGGGAGGAGGAGGAGTGGATTGTGTTTGTTTTGGTGCCTGAACAAAGAACAGGGTCTGGTGTTCTTGTTGTTCTTGCTGAAGTAATTGGTTTTTTTTACATCTCTATAACTAAAGACTATCAGTTGTACTTGTTTTTTCTTGCCGTGTGAGCAAAGAACACAATCATATGTTCTTGCTCCTTGGAGGCTGAACAAATACGTGTTCTCCTCGGTGGCGAGTGTAATGAAACTAGTCATATGTATTACCTGTTCTTGTTTATACACACTTATGAAAAGCTGATTTGATTTTAAATAGAAACTGTTTGTTTTTCCCTCACAGAACACAATGAAACAGTCAAACATTTAAAACTCATTAAAACCCGCCCAAAATAGATCAAACTCGTTAAAACACAATAAAACACACTAAAACACCCAAAAAAACACAGTTAAACACCAAAAATACATTAAACAATGTCCGATAGACATTAAATTCATTCAAACACAATAAAACACAACAAAACACGCCCGATAGACATTAACTTCATTCAAGCACATTAAAACACCCAGAAAAACAGAATAAAACGGACCTGTAATAACGACGCTTAAAAATTGTTGTTTGCAGGCTGCGATGCTCTCAAATATTTCGACAACATTAAACCCGGCAGGTAGTGTAAACAGTCCTCTTGTGTGCTTATTGTATTACCTTGTTTGGTGTTGCCAGAGTGAGTGGAAGTGGGTCGTTCGTTTACAGGTGGAGTTTGTTGTTTACAGGTGGAGTTGCATTGTTTACAGGTGGACGTGTGTTGATAGGTGGGGGAGTTGTTTACAGATGGAGTAGCACTGCTTACAGGTGGAGGTTTGTTGTTTACAGATGGAGATATATTGTTTACAGGTGGAGATGTTTTGTTTACAGGTGGGGGAGTTGTTTACAGTTGGAATCGAGTTGGTCAAGGTTTGAGTCGAATCGGGAGAGAGAGGTCAGGTCAGGTCAAGTGTTGGGTTCAACTGATTTAGGTTAGGTCAGGTCAGGTCAAATGTTGAGTTCAAATGAGTCCCCGGTAAGCAAGGGGTGAGAGGTCGTGCTGAAAGGCTTTGAATGGTCTTGTTTAACCCAGTGAGGATCATGGATTAAACCTTTTGATTATGGTGGGTTTCACCTTTTGAGGATCATGGATTAAACCTTTTGAGGATGGTGGGTTTAACCTATTGAGGATCATGGATTAAACCTTTCGATTATGGTGGGTTTATCCGTTGTGGATGATGGGTTAAACTAGCTTCCTCAAAGTGTTAACATATCCTCAAAGGTTAAACCCGCTTTCTGAAAGGGTTAAACCAGTGTTCTAAAGGGTTCAAATATCACGCTCAAAGGATTAAAACATCGTCCCCAAGGGTTAAAACATCGTCCTTAAAGGGCTTAACCATCGTAGTCAAAGGGTTAAAACATCGTCCTCAAAGGGTTAAAACATCGTCCTCAAAGGGTTAAACCATCGTTCTCAAAGGGTTAAACCATCATTATCAAAGGTTTAAACTATACTCTCCTAAGGGTTAAATCATCATCCTCAGAGGCGTTAAAAGTTTGATGACAATGGTTTAATCGTTAAACCACTGTCCCCCAAAAGGGTTAATACGTCATCGGTATCACGTGTAGAGACGACCTAAGTTCTGATAGAAGTTCTGACGCGATTGAAAAGTGAAGTTGGAAACTGGTTCATTATCAAGTTTCGAACAAGCAGAATGAGTTGAGAGAGAGAGAGAAAGACTGTGTGAGAGAATGGGAGAAAGAGAGAGAGTGAGTTAGTGAGAACGAGGGAGAGAGTGTTAGAATGAGATATAGAGTTAGTGAGAATGAGAGAGAGTGAGTGAATGAGTGTGTGTGTGTGTGTGAGAGAGAGAGAGAGAGAGGGAAAGAGAGAATGAGAGAGTTAGTGAGAATGAGCGAGAGAGAGAGAGAGAGAGAGAGAGAGAGAGAGAGAGAGAGAGAGAGAGGTTTCATTTAAGAGGTTCAAATACTCGACACTTGTCACAGTCTTACTAACAGATTTCCAGGAAAGAGGGAGGGAAAAAGGCGAGTGTCTTACCTCTGAGCTTCACGTTTCCAAGCAATAGTTTCGTGAAGTGAAAAGGTCGAGAGGTTGAGAGAGTCGAGCAGGAACCCCGGTCGATGGTACGAACCCAGAACGAGGTCACGGGTTGTATGTTAGGTCACACCTGTTGTAAATTAGGTAATTCTGTTGTAAGTTAGGTCATCCTGTTGTATGTTAGGGTCAATCTGTTGTATGTTAGGTCACCCTGTTGTGTGTTAGGTCGCCCTGTTTTATGTTAGGTCGCCCTGTTTTATGTTTGGTCACCCTGTTATATAAATTAGGTCACCCTGTCATAAATTAGGTCACCCTGTCATAAATTAGGTCACACGGGTAAAACCATCACCTGACCACAAGCAATAACAACTAACTCAAAATAATTACCTGACAGAAAGTTGACAGGTATGAGAACCATTAATTACAGGTGACAGTTAACGTACTATTTGGCGCGTTATTGGTAAAGGCGGAAATACCCGTCTGTCAGCGGAAATGGATGGATTTTGGACGGATTTGGGAAGGGATTTTAGTGAGGCGGGATAGAGAGTGCGGAAATGGGTGGATTTTGGACGGATTTGGGAAGGGATTTTAGTGGGGTGGATTTTGGGCGGATTTGGGAAGGGATTTTACTGAGGCAGGATAGAGAGTGCGGAAATGGAAGGATTTTGGACGGATTTGGGAAGGGATTTTAGTGAGGCGGGATAGAGAGTGTGTGCATGTATTTGAATAACATGTTAATGCAGTCGTGATATTGGTGAGAGCGTTGCCTGGTTTTGGCTCTTGGTTTAAGTAGGTGTTCAGTTAAGCGCTGGTATTGGATATAGTGAGAAAAATGTATAAAAAACACATAATTATTTGTTTTTGTGTTCGTAAGGGGAGGTTTTTTTTTTTTTTATCTTTTTGCACTGAATTTTGATATTATATTTATACATCGATACACACACGTAGATACATATAGAACACACACACACACGCCTCCTGACAGATACTCCCCAGTCAGCCGATCAACGCCTACGCCCCCTGGGAGTGTGGGGTATTATCGCCCACTGTTCGTCAAAGTCTCAGGAAACTGGACCACCTATCAATCCTGTGTCGTCTCCTCACCACCTGTGGACCCTCTGTCTTAACCCATACTCTTAGGGGTGGCTCTGTCTGTCTCTCCTTCTTTGTCTATCTGTATCTCTCTTTCTCTCTCTCTCTCTCTGTCTGTCTGTCTGTCCTTCTTTGTCTATCTATCTGTCTGTCTGTCTCTCTCTCTTTCTCTGCCTCTCTCTTTCTCTCCCTCTCTCGCGTTGATGAAAGATTAAAGCCAAAGTTGTATGTATTTTAGTTAATCATAAAATCCGAGCCTCATTACCCGAGTAGTTTGTTAGTAAGACGTAAAACAGGGAAAGACACGACAACTTTTTTTTCACAGGACGAGCAGAAAAAATATATATCATCTTTTCTTACTTTCCTTAGTGAAGAGAAAATACTTTATTTTATTTTTTTACGCCGTCTACTCTTTGAAGAGAGAAAGCAGAGGTTTATCATAGTTTTAACAAAGATGTAATCAAAACTTTCGCCAGAGTGAAAGGACTCGCTGGGACAGGGGGGGTGGGGGGTGTACAGTCCATTTTAATCCTGAGAGTTTTTCCTGTGATAATGGGAAACATACTTACGTTCCTGACTAGTGTTGAGATGGTGGTGGGTGGTGGGAGGGTGGGTGGTGGAGGGGGTGGGTGTGGTGGGTGGTGTGAGGTGTGGTGGTGGGTGGTGAGGGGTGGTGGGTGGGTGAGGGTGGTGGGTGGTGTGGGAGGGGTGGTGGGGTGGTGTGAGGGTGGTGGTGGGTGGTGTGGTGGGTGGTGTGGAGGGTGGTGGGTGGTGTGGAGGGTGTGGTGTGTGAGGGTGGAGGAGGTGGTGGGTAGGTGGGAGATGGGAAGGGAGACGTGGTAATGGAAGTCTCATAAGGTGTTAATAGTCTGTTTTTATTAATGTTATTTACCTTCCAGGTTTAATATACAGTACAATACATGTAGAGGTGACAAGAGAGGATAAACAGACTGTGAGGGACGCAGAAGGTGGCCTGAGAGACTCGGTGTACACGGCAGGTTCTCTCAGGAGGTAAACAAACAGTGAAACAGCGAGATAGTTTTGTTGTCATTATTTTGCTTCGAGGCGGAGAGTAAAGAGGCGGTACACGGTGAGGATAAAGAGGCAGTGAAACACACAGGATACAGATAACATCACCATGATTCATCTCAGTGTTGGCAGATAAGTGTCAGAGTGTTTAGCGGTGAATATATTTAGCGTCGCGAGGGAAAATGTGAAGGTGTAGGGCGCGCGTGTGTGTGTTAGTGCGGCGCTGCAGCATGAGCGAGGCGGTGACCAGGGCGGTGGACGGTGGCGTGTGATGCGCACTTGCGCTTCCTCCCCGCCATGATGGCGCTCTTTGGGATGGTCTGGCTGCTCAAGGTCCGTAAGCACCTGCGCCACTGCGCCCATTGTCGGGCCCACCTGAGGACCTGCGCTCAATGCCGGGCTCGGCCTTCTCCCTCGCTGCCGTCCATCATCAACTCGCGAGACTCCACCAAGGAGTCGTGTGCCCAGGACACCGCCTCCCAGACCTCCCCCCCAGAGCTGGAGCGAGGCAGGATCACCCTTGACCTGGTGGCTCATCCTCCACCCCGGGACGAGGATAGTGACGACCCTGACGTGGCTAGTGTAGAGTCCAGGACCAACGGTGAGGACAGGGACTTAGAGGATAGAGGAGTGGACGTCCCGGTGGAGTCCGAGGGCTGTGTGGACGAAGGTCAGTTCTTGTCCTACGATGGACGGGTGTCACCTGCCCTACCTGCCCCTCCGCCGCCCCCGCCCCGCAGTCCAGCTCCACTGGTCCGTGACGGCCCCAGGTCTCCCCGTCGATCCCATGACCCAGCCCTCAGCGTGGCGCAGCAGCCGTGTGAGAGCGCCGCAGGGTCCCTGGCCAGCCGTGTGTGTAGTCTATACGGTCAAGACTCTACCAGGCCCGACCCCGTGTGTGAGAGACGCAGGTCGTTCAGTGCTATCAAGAGGCGGAGTCTCCCTGAGGCCGAGGAGCTGGAGGTCGGTGACGAGGCCACCAGGACCGCCACACTGCCACGGCAGAGCTCAACCGGCAGCGGCTACCGCTTCTGCTACACCCCGGGCCACACCCACCCCTACGCCTGCCCACCCCTGGCGGGCTCCACCCCACAGCTGCCACTCTACGCCCGCACTAACCACGACACCCACACCCAGGAGGCCGCTCCTACACCCCACACACACGCCACACAGGCAGCCCACACTCTCCACACCACGCCACACATAACCCAGTCCCTGCACCCAACATTGCCGGTTACCCACCCGCGGGAGACGCTACCGCAGGTGACTCTAGACCCCCGCTACCTGCCGGGGGAGGCACTAGAAGGAGCTTACGGCGGCTCAGACTCCAGTCGCAGCTCCCACAGCGGCTCCCGCAGCTCTTACAGCGACCACAGTCTGCCCCCTCCTCTGCCCTTCTCAGAGGGGGCCATCCACTACCTACCCACACCCAGCTCCACCCACGCCCCCACGCCCGCCGCCGTCCACGCCCCCACACAATACCACCAGCAGGTGTATCCTCGTGTAGGACGCGGATATGGGCGGCGGTCTAGCATCCCAGGGGCGCCATGTCCCCCGGGGCAGCGAGGAGTTCACTACTGGGATGGGGTGTGGTCCATCCCCACCAGCTCCACCCTCACCACCTTCCTCGGTGCTGACTACCCCACCTACGACCCCACCACTGTACCAGGTCGTGACCGCCGCCCCCATGCCCACACCCACTCCCCCCGCGGGGCTCAAGGCACCATTCCCAGAGCCAGAAGCTCCTCCAGGTCCCGCAGCTCCCCGGGGGGACGTCCTGGCCGTAGTCACTCACGGAGCCCCAGTAGACACCTGGCCAGAATTGACTTGTTGGAGGAGTGTGGCGGGACGGAGGGAGGCGGAGGGCGGAGGGCGGGGTGGCAACACGAGAACGGAGGGGTGGCCACCATCCTGCCGCCCCCACCCCGTGACTGGGGAGCCCCGGCAGCCTCCAGGGCCTCCTTCTGCGCCCTACACGGCTACAACAGACCTAAAGGTAAGTTGACTCTCTCACTTGACACCTGACGGAGGCTGACAGGTGTTGACGTTGTCTCATTCACCTTCATTATTCTCCTCCTCCTCTTCCTTATTTTCCTGCCTCTGTTATTCTTTACCTTTCTTCTCGTCCTTCATATTTTTTCTCCCTTTCTTCCTCAGGTAAAAGGTAAAGAAATAGAAAATTACTTCCTCACTTCTCCCCCCCCCCAGGCCACCATGGCTGGAGGGTATTGCCATTACCCATGTTGTCTGTTTATATATCCAATCATACTGTGTTTGTCTTTCTGTCCACCCGTCTGTGTGTCTGTCCACCCGTCTGTGTGTCTGTACATCCGTCTGTAAGCTGCCAACATCATGACTAAGGTTTTTGTGGTGACAAATGACGAGATATTACTAGACCAGTCTGTTGATTAGGTCGCCTTGACATAAAGAAAACTGGAAACTTAACGAGAAATGGGAAATTAATGAATTCATAAACGTATGTTCTTGAAATAACCAAAGGCAGGTCAGAAGTCATTTAAACAGGTCAGTACAGGACTCCCTCTTGTCTTGGCAGGTCAGAGGTCATTTAAACAGGTCACTACAGTACTTCTTGTTTAAACAGGTCAGGACAGGAACTAAACACAGGTCAGAGGTCATTGAAAAGGTCACCACAGAACTTCCTCTTAAAGAATACAAATAAAAACATCCCACAAATGTCGAGATAAAATGACTGGGACTGTAGGCACTCGCGGCTTGGCACTATAATGACCCTCCCGCCAATTACGGCTAAACCGTCCACAAAATAGCTTTAATCCAGCTAAGTCGGATCAGCTTAATCGACTAACCTCCACCCCCTCCTCCCCCTGGTGATTTTAGCTTCAGTCATACAGGTGTTTTTGTTTGTGGGTGGAAAGTGTTTGTATATTTTTGCTTTTATTTGTGTTTTTGTTATTGTTATGTTTAATGTTATTGTTATTTATTATTATTATTATTATTGTTTTCGTTATTGTTATTATTATTATCATTATTATTATTATTATTATTATTATTATTATTATTATTATTATTAGTCTAGTATTCTATGTATATTAAACTTAAAAAGATTATTTAAGAGAGAATATTTTTAGGGGAAACTACTTTAATTTAAGAGTTAGTGAACGGTGTTTTAAGGGGCCGGTCTACTGTATTACCCTAAAGCGGTGAATACAAGTTAGTAGTTACCTGTGGCTGCCAATCACCTGTACTGGGCTGTTAACTACCAATATAAAGTAATTAACACTTAACTATGCTGGACAGGTAAGGGTCAGGTGAGCGAGTTTTAATTTGTTTAGTTATTTTGAATCACCTGAACATTAGCCACCCCCCCCCCTCCCACCAGCTTATTTCACCTGATGATTTAACTTCTTAAGGCTACTTGGCCAGTTAGATTAGGTTAGGTTAGGTTAGGTTAGGTTAGGTTAAGCTAACATATGGGTGGTTAAAATTCAGGTCAAATAAAGGTGAGGGTTAATCTTTAGGTATTTTATCAACATTTAACATTTCATATATTTCAATATCATTAAATTAACATTGAAATTTAACAATACTTAATAATTTAGCCTCGATCTTTATGGCGTAGAATTAAAAACTAAAAATATTAATAATTGAAAAATTAAATAACTAAAGGGTTTTATTCCGGCGTCTGAACAGGTAAGTTAATTAAATCCTTTGATAAAATTACAGGTATTTGTGTGATATTAAAAAGCTGCTTGTTACATATCTCTAAATTCCTCAGGTTTAATTACTAATTAACTATGAGCATCAGGGTTTAAAAGTGTTTATAGTGTTTTTTGTGTTTTAATTTGGTTTATGTGTGTATGTGTGTGTGTGTGTGTGTGTGTGTGTGTGTGTGTGTGTGTGTGTGTGTGTGTGTGTGTCATAGCACCAGCACACAGACTGACCCTCACCTGTGACCTTTATTCTTCCATTAAACAAAAATCTAATAATTTGTTTTACCTGACTAACACACACACACACACACACACACACACACACACACACACACACACACACACACACACACACACACACACACACGAGATTTTGATGGAAAGAAAATTGCCTATCATGGCAGGTAATGTGTATGTATATATGTATTTATGTATGTATGTATGTATATGTATGTATGTATGTATGTATGTACTGTATGTATGTATGTACTGTATGTATGTATGTATGTATTATAAATATTCGTGAACATCTATACTAAAGTTGTGTATTTTGCACTATGTATTTCTATTATGTATATTTTGTAATTATGTATCTAGGTCTTGTAAAAAAACCAGTTGTGATGGAAAATACACACCGTTGTATACTGATTCACTATGTTACTTGTCATACTAATTTAACATCCTCTTTTTTTCATGACAGTGGACATACTTTATATAAGTCTTTTGTGTATATTTCTATTACCTGTATTTTATTATTTTGTAGTGTAATGTGTATAGTATTTTCGGTTGAAGTTGTGAAGAGGTGTATACTGTTGTGTGTGTGTGTGTGTGTGTGTGTCTGTGTGTGTGTGTGTGTGTGTGTGTGTGTGTGTGTGTGTGTGTCTGTGTGTGTGTGTGTGTCTGTGTGTGTGTGTGTTTGTGTGTGTGTGTGTGTGTGTGTGTGTCTGTGTGTGTGTGTGTCTGTGTGTGTGTGTGTGTGTGTGTGTCTGTGTGTGTGTGTGTGTCTGTGTGTGTGTGTGTCTGTGTGTGTGTGTGTGTGTGTGTGTGTGTGTGTGTGTGTGTCTGTGTGTGTGGGTGTGTGTGTGTGTGTGGATATGTTGTGTTGGTATGTTGGTCAGAGTATATTATTATTATTATTATTATAATAAATATTATTATTATTATTATTATTATTATTATTATTATTATTATTATTATTATTATTATTATTATTTTTATTTTTATTTTTGTTGTTATTATTATTAAGCAAATAAACAAATTTTCGATGTCTTCTATTACAGGTAAGAGTCAGGAATGTCAGCAAAGTGTCAGTCAGGAGTGTCAGCCTTCTCATAGGTAAGTACCACACAAAGAACCTACTGACTTCCGTTTTCTGTTGAACTGTGGAGGAAAACGTCTTATAATATTGTATTAACATCACCGCCACCACCACCACCGCCACCACCGCCACCACCGCCACCACCACCACCACCACCACCACCACCGTAACTACCACCGTTAACTGCCCCCACCACCACCACCGTTAACTGCCCCCCACCACCACCACCACCACCACCACCACCGTTAACCACCACAAACATTATAATAAAACCTTCCTTAATGAATTACTACACTACAATATTTTTAACATAATACCTGTAAAGTATTTTGGCTCGAGATATTAATATTAGGCTTAACAAAAGGTAAACATACAACAATAGCCAACAAACAATAGCCTACCACAGTTAGTTACCTTTTATTATATTATTTTAAAGACAACAATAACGAGAGGACATTAAGCAAGAGTTAATTTAAAAGGCAAAGTTGTTATTGTTGTTCATCCTGGGGTAAGAATAATAAGAGTCAGCAGTGTGTGTTGTTGTTGGTCTAGTGTGTCCTAAAAAAATGTGAAGTGTTTTGATTGTGTCTGTCTCTATGATGTGGTTAGCTTGACGTACTGTGTGTGTGTGTGTGTGTGTGTGTGTGTGTGTGTGTGTGTGTGTGTTTAGCTGTCGCCCTCTATCTCTCCCTCCTTCCCTCCCTTCCTTTCCTCCCTATAGGCCCCCCGCCCCGCCCCTCACCTTTCCTGACTTACTCTCGGCCTGTCTCCCCTCTCCTACCTCCAGCCTTCTCTCCCTCCCCTAATTTACCCTCAGGTGAATTCCTTTCCTGTTTCCTCTCTCTTTCCCTCCCACCCCTCCTTCCCTCCTCCCTCCTTCCCTTTAGGCAACTTCCGGAGTGAGACCCGTGAATTGTATAGCGTTCTCTCTCTCTCTCTCTCTCTCTCTCTCTCTCTCTCTCTCTCTCTCTCTCTCTCTCTCTCTCTCTCTCCCTCCCTCTCTCTCTCTCTCTCTCTCTCTCTCTCTCTCTCTCTCTCTCATATTATAAAGGCTGTGGGGGATGTTAAAGAGGTGAGAGAGAAGGGTAGAATAGGGTGAGGGGAGAAGGGGAGAGAGGCAATGAAGGGAGAGGAGGGAGAGCCAGCTTATGGGGGGAAGGAGGGAGAACTAAGAGTGCCGTGGCTAAGTGGATACAGCGCTCACCTGTCCTGAGTATCGCTGGTTCTACCCCGGGGCGCCCTTAGTCCACCCAGCTGCACCTAACGTTACAGTTGATGAAGTGAAGGTGGTCGAGTACAGTGTCGGCCTCCTTGTGTACTGAGCTGCTCTCTACGTGGTGGACTCAATGGGTGGTTAGGTTAGGTTAGGTGTATGGGACCCACTTTTAATGTGTGTAATAATAATAATAATAATAATAATAATAATAATAATAATAATAATAATTAACGGTTTATTGAAAAAGTTCTGCAGCCCGAAGGCTGAAAGTATACATTAGACAAAAATGACTTATTACATACAAAGACATGGGGTGGGTGGGTCGTTTAACAAAAGCTTTCATAACTGAAAGAAGAAGGAACATTGATTGAACGTACAAATTATTATAGTTTACAGTTGATGGCCCGGGCCTGGGCTGGTTATGGAGACACCAAGTGGTGTGGTGTTCACGTGGTGTAGTAACTCGTCTTCGGGTGTTGGTATGAAGGACCTCACGTGGTCATGGGGACACCGGGTGGTGTGGGGTGGCGTCACAGTACCTCACTCTGCTGGGTGGCGTTGTGTTGTAACATAGTCAGGTGTGAAGCCGACCCTCTGTTGTTCCCATGGTGGACTGATTAGCACCTCCTGGTCAGAAGGTGGTGGTCAGTTCCCAGGGGAGCTTATCTCACTGGTGGGTCGCGGCTCTCACTGGTACTGTCTAGTGCTGAACTCACTGGCTTAAACTGTTCACTGTTCAACACTTGTCTCACTTCTTTCCGAAACGAAATTGT